CAGTGGAACGCTGTCGTAAGCTTTATTCAGGTCTACGAATAATAGGTGGACTTCTTTCTTAACAGCTGACATTTTCTCTAGAATTTGTGTTACACAGAAAAGGTGATCAACTGTTGATCTTCCTGCCCGGAAACCAGCTTGTTCTTCGGCTTCGTTGACGGCGAATTCTTGTTCTATTCTGGTTTTAAGTACCTTACCGTATAATCTATTTATCGACCCCGTAACTGCAATGCCCCTGTAATTGCCACATTCATCTTTACTACCCTTTTTATGTATTGGGGTAAGATAGGACTCTTTCCATTCTTCTGGAATCTCACCGGTATTAATGCATTTTTGGAATAACTTTGCTAGGTGTTCGTATAGTGCTTGTGTTCCAAACTTCAATAATTCAGCTGGTATGTTACCCGGACCGGGAGCCTTTCTGTTTTTTAAGCTTTTGCATGCGTCTTTGACTTCTTTTATGGATAGTCTGATGGGTGAGGCTGAAACAGATATGTTATTTCCGTTCCGTTCGGGTTTTTTAAATTTGTCTCGATCTTCTATCAATAGTTCACTGAAGTATTTGTCCCATTTTTGTAATGAAATGGGAGATATTATATCTGTCTTTCTCTCTTGACGTAGTGACTTTAATATTTTTCAGCTTTCTGTGCTTTTTCTGCCTCCAAGGTATGTTTGGATTGTTGTACATCTTCTTTCCCAAGATTCATTCTTTTTTTGTGTGATCTTTCTCGTGACTTTTGCTGGAGCTTCTTTAAATAAAATTTTGTCTTCTTGTTTCTTTGTTGTTAAGAATCTTTGATTAATTTCTCTTTTTTCTTTAATGTCTCTTTCAATGTCCTCGTCCCACCAATAGGGTTTCCTTTGCGTTTTTCTTTCATAAACACCCAAAGCTTCATTTGCAGCATCTTTTAAGCATTTTTTAATATGGTTATAATGATCGTTGTTATTTTCGAATGGTGCTTCTCTTAGTTTTTCATCGAGTCTTTTTAAATAATAATAATAATAATAATAATAATAATAATAATAATAAATTCGTTTATTTCCAAGAAAATATTTTCAATTGTAGGAAATGTTGATAGGTAAATACAATTTCAAGAAATTTTGCATATACGAAATAAAAAATTTCGAAAATCAAACAGGTAGGTATCAGCAATAACATAATTTAAAATAATAAGGCATCCCACAAATAGCATTAAGTAGGTACACAAAATAGTGATATTTCATGAGAATATATATTAACAAATTATTGAGTAACACCCACCACCTACCATTAAATTAACTATACAAAGAAGAAGCAAGAAAGTATAACATACCTAAAGCAAAAATTACAGATAGGTTGTAGAGAGAAGAATATAGAAAATTCATATTTATCTACGATTATCAAGAACTTACTGACTAAATATTAAAAAAAAAGGATTCCCCTACAGTATAGTAAGCTTTGGATATCAATATTTTTGCAGTTTATTTATAAACTTATTCAAAGAGAGTTCTTTATACTGATTCGGAAGTGTATTGTAAAGCTTACCACACATATAGAAAGATTTTTTTTGATATGCTGCTGTTGAACGTCTCTCCAGGCTTATAGTATTTTTGGCCTTTCTGGTATTTGATTCGAAAAACGTGAATTTATGTTTCTTCTGATGTACGAATTTCGTGCAAGCAAAAATATACAAGGACGGCAAGGTTAAAATATTTAACTGTATAAATCTGAATTTACAGGTCTCAGTAGGTTTCATTCTTAACATTGTTCGAATGATAAATGTTGATTGACTAGCGCTTGCATTACCCCACAACATGATACCATAGCCCAGCACTGAATGAAAGTTTGCATAGTAAACTGTTTTTAACAAATCGAGATTAAGCGCCATATTCTCCGTAGTTCATAAAGCCTGGCTTAGTGGAAAAGCTCGGCTTTGTCACACAAAAAGCCAAATGTTTCCACTAAGCCAGGCTTTATGAACTACGGAGAATACGGCCCCTAATCCTTTAGCTGACAACACTTTAAGACAATATCACGATCTGTTTAGTTTGCGATTTTGTGTTTCAATGTGCATAGACCATTTAATATGATCGTCAATGTAAATTGCTAGTATGTACCCACCTTAGCGGTAAGTTCTTGAATCAAAGTCAGTTTAACGTCGTAATATCCAAGACTAATATGAAACGTTTGAAAAGCGTTTGTTCAAGAACGCTTCTGAAAACGTCCGCAATATCTACGCAAAACTTCCATAAGCAAAAGGTTCAAGAAAAAAATTTTGGAAAATACTGTTGTAGGATGTTTTCAAAACCAACAACAGCAAACGTCTTACAATTTTTTTTTTAATGTCAATGTTTTTTAGAAAATTAGTATAGTTTACACTAATTTCCGAGCATGGCCCATGACGCCACTGCCAGTTAGCGTTAAGAAAACGCACAAATTACACGAACATAATAATTTTTATGGCCCTAGACCTTAATCAATCACTTCTGTGCCAAATTTTGACGACAATAAATTTTAAATTATAGACCGTTCGAAGATAAACATATTACTATAGTTTGATTAGTTATACAAATATATATGTTAGCTTTACCGCCGATCAAAAATGAGGACTGGTAGAGTAAAAATCAAACGAGAAGAAACCATTGACGTCAGCGCTGACAAAGAAGACAGATTTCCTTTTCTCTGGGTCCCTCCCATTTAAAGTGAGACAAACGATAACGCGTGTGGCTTTTTCTCGTTTGATTTTTACTCTACAGGGTGACATTTTAAAAACTTACAATGGCTATATCTCAGGAACCAAAAAAAATATAAAAAATCGCTGAAAAGAATTTCTATAGTAGGGAGGGGGAAACAAAATTATGGAATAACTAACTTGTTTTGACTCACCCCCTCACCCTCAGCTACCCCAACTTAGTAATCTTAAATGACACCCCCTTACTTGTGATGAAAAATGCCTTTCAATGGTACCCTACAAGCTAGGATTCGATGTGATTGTTTTTGGTTTATTGGGTAAATAAAACTTCATTCATTTGAATTTAAATTGTATTTTTTTAGACTTGTCAATTTTTTCAGGTTGTCAAAACAACGAATAAACAAAAAATAATACAAGCCTAAAATTTGTAAGCCTCAAGATTAATACTACGATAGTAAAAAAATGTTTTTAAATTTTTATTAAATTATTAGTCAAAAATTCAATTCACATTTCAATGGTTATATTTTGAAAATAATTACATCGAATCCTAGCTTGTAGGGTACCATTGGAAAGCATTTTTTAAGAGCTTTTAGATAAGGTAACACAAGTAGGGGGGTGTCATTTAAGATTACTAAGTTGGGGTAGCTGGGGGTGAGGGGGTGAGTGAAAACAAGTTAGTTATTACATAATTTTGTTTCCCCTCCCTACTATAGAAATTGTTTTCAGCGATTTTTTATATTTTTTTTGGTTCCTGGGATATAGCCATTGTAAGTTTTTAAAATATCACCCTGTATAATAATAAACATATACGCCAAAATAAACAGTACCGAAATCTAGAGCTCTGAGTAATTGCGTACGCAAGTTGCAATCATCATATTTCGCTTACTTGGCATCAGTTATGAGGTTGTCATTAAGTTAAGGTTAAAATCTTCGTCATTATGTATCTTTCAACTGAAGAAACAGTTTTCTTAGTAGAGCACTATTTCTGGTCATACGGAATTAGAAGGAATAAATGCTCAAGTTTGAAACAAGTCTCAGAAAAATTTCAGCAACCACTCCTAATAGATATTTTCAATGATTTGCAGAATCATTAGGTATAAAGCTTTTTTGCGTCGCTATGATGTATTTTTTGAACATACAGAGTATCAATTTGAAAACTTCCCACCCCTATTATCTCTGAGCAGAAAAATTTTCGAAAAAATCCCTGAAACACGTCAACTTTAATTTGAAGGGGGATGAGTTTTTATGCAAAATTCACCTTCCCCCTTTCAACACCCCAGCCCCCAGAGCCACCCCCTAGAAAATTTTAAATGGGAAGGGGGGGTCAAGTGATACATCATTTTGGAGGGTTTTTAATTCCATACATTTAAGTATAAAATTTTAATTCCTAAGCTCAACTGTTTTGGAAATATTGACAGTTGAAAATTGACTTTTTTGCAACTTTGACAAGCTGTAAAACCTAAACGGTTTATTTTAGAGGAAAACCGGTTCTACATTCTTTTCTTAGATTTTTATAAACTATCATGTGACACTAACTTCGAATTTAATCCACGATTAAAAATTCCGGTTGAAAATTTAATCTCCGGTTAAATTCAAAAATGGTGTCAAATGATAGTTTATGAAAATCTAAGATAAGAATGTACGATCGGTTTTCCTCTAAAATAAACCGTTTAGGTTTTACAGCCTGTCAAAGTAGCAAAAAAGTCAATTTTCAACTGTCAATATTTCCAGAACAGTTGAACTTAGGGACTAAAATTTAATACCAAAATGTATGGAATTGAGAACCCTGTAAAATAATGTATCACTTAACCCCCCTTCCCATTTAAAATTTTCTAGGGGGTAGCTCTGGGGGCTGGGGGTTGAAAGGGGGGAGGTGAATTTTGCATAAAAACTCATCCCCCCTCAAATTATAGTTGATGTGTTTCAGGGATTTTTTCGAAAATTTTTCTACTCCGAGATAAAAGGGGTGGGAAGTTTTCAAATTGACACCCTGTATACGCATGATACAAATTAATAAATGATATAATTTTTATGTTCAGTACTGTTTATTTTGGCGTATCTGATCCCATCAATTTTTATTATTGTGCCTGAAACCGTGCAAATGTCCTGTATTAGCCGCAGGGTAACCTTGTTTAGTATCCCATCTCATTCCCATCGCTGGTCTTTGTAAATTCCTAACAGTCGTAAGAGGCTAGCTAGTTTTAAAACAATAGATTTAATTATCAGACCCTTAAAAGAAAACGAAAGGCTCGAAGGCTTTGAAAAAAGAAAATGAATCAATTCGCACTAAATTTACTCCTTAACTTATGACAATAATTTCTGTTACAGTGTAGCCTAGATCCCAACTTGGGCCGGTGCTACAAGTCGCGACACAGCAACGAATCGCAATGCCCGATGTTGTCCTCTATCAGCAAGCCAGTTTTGAGAATGAAGAATCCAAAGGCCAGCCTGCTCTCTGCAGTAGTCAAGGCATCGCCATCGACTAACTCTCATCAAAAGAAGCTGCGCTTTCAGTTAGCTAAGGAACGCAAAGCCAGCACTACCTTAGGAATTATTATGAGCGCCTTCATCTTTTGTTGGCTCCCGTTTTTCGTTTTGGCGCTTATCAGACCATTTTTGGATGAAACCACTAGCGTGCTGAATACTTTAGGTTAGTATAGTTGAACACTTTGGAGAACATCATATAATTTCGAATGATAAAATCCTAATTTTATTGATCGCAGGTAGCCTATTCCTTTGGCTGGGCTACACCAACAGCCTATTCAACCCGATCATATACGCTACATTGAACAGAGACTTCCGCAAACCCTTCAAGGCTATTCTGTACTTCCGTTGCGGCAGTCTCAATCACATGATGCGCGAGGACTTCTACCATAGTCAATACGGTGATCCAGAGCAGCACGTTACCAGGTACCAAATGGACTACGATGAAGGAGTTGAATACATTGAGGCTGAAGGCGAAGAAATCAAAATGTCGGAGACTGATGCTGCTGCACACGAATCATTTTTGTGATTATCGACTTTGACTCCGGTTGTGAACGTAAGAGAACAATAGTAACTCTAGCTGCTGTAGTAGCCCAAAACGCAAAATCTAGGGATAACTTGATATCTCCTGAGCAACAGCTTTTGATAGCTCTAAAATAGCAAACTTAGCATTTTTGAAAAAAAATTCAAAAAATGTCCTATGCAGTTGAAGAATATATTCAACAAAATTATGTATTTGTGTTTCAGATTTCTGCAACAAATCCACCTGACAAGAACTAGACTTAATTTTCTCAAGACCCAGTATTTTTGGTGTACCTAAACCTACAAAAATCCTAAAAATATTTAAACAAATTTTATACTTCTAAGGGTAAGACAATCGACTTTTTTAGAGCTAAATATTGTATATATTAATTGAATACACACTTCTAGTCATATTATGTGAGTTCTTGTTTTCTTATTTCAAAACCTTATCCCTATCCGTATCTTTTTCATAATTTTCTCCAGAAGTATGGAAACGAAAAATTTACAAAAAAATCCGAATCACTGATATCAAAAACAAATGGATAAACAATCGTATGGCTTGACTGGCTAAACTTGCGAAAATTTGGGGTCAATATTCTACGAACAGTTGTACAACGGAATAGCCTAATGCCTGCGCAGTGTCTTATCTTTCGAACAACTGTTTTGACAATTTTGCAATATCCTTCATTTTCATTGACAATATTTTGCGCACGCACAGTACATAATTTTACGTTTCCGTCCATAACATACTTTTTTTATTCAAATTAACGGAAATTAGAGTTTTCTTTCTATGCATCTTATTTCATCTACAGACGCGTTTCGATCTGTCAGTGGCTAGGGAAGACAGAGAGCTCTCTATTAGTCTATGCGGCAGACCATCAAAATGGGGTAAAATGTAGCAAATTGGGTTAAAAGCATGAAATTTGGCAGAGTTGTTTTTTGGACTATTTTAAGGGATTTGACCCCCAGCACCTAAAATTTCAACCCTTAGGAGGGTGGTTTAACCCCTATTTTATTTTTTAAGGGTTAAAACTATTAAAAATTTCTATGTCATCATATTATTTCAATATTGCTGTCATTTTAGACTAATTTGAATGTGAGGAATTCAAAAAAAAATATCTCATTCTCATAGGACCCAACGGTAGGGCTCTATTGCTGTCATATTTGACATAAGTGTCAAAAATATCGTTTTTTTACATTCAGACCTATCTGGAAAAAATTATGACGATTTATATAGAATTTGGCATGAGAAAACTGCAGCACCTCAAATTTCACCCCTCAGGGGGGCTGTTCAACCCCTATTCGATTTTTAAAGGGTTAAAATTATTGAAAATCTCTATCATATTATTCCAATATTGGTGTCATTTTAGACTAATTCGAATATAGGGACTTTGAAAAAAAATATGTCATCTTCATAGGACCCAACGGTAGGGCTCTATTGCTATCATATTTGACATAAATGTCAACAATATCTGTTTTTTTACATTAATGCCTACCTGGAAAAAATATATGGAGATTTATATGTATAGAATTTGGCTCAAAAATCCAAAAAAACATGTTTCAAATCTGTACAGGTCATTGCTCTACAGCAACGTTACACAGAAAAAAACAGCATCTAAAATAAGCTGTCAAAATTCTCGTGCAAAATTAGAGCTTATTCGTCGTGCCGACACTGACACTTTGGTTTTGGCCATATATTTCTATTCTCAATTGAAATGCCTAGGCATAGAAAATCTCTGGCTGCTCTATGGATGCTCAAAATCCCTACGATACATTCCCGTTCACTGCATTGCGGAGGTTCTTCCTGATAGTAAAGCAGAAGCTCTACGCGGTTTCCATTCTGTTACTGGCTGTGACACCGTATCATTTCTATCATCAAAAGGGAAACGATCGACGTGGAAAGCTTGGACTGCAGAAACAACATCCGCGTTTCGTGGAATATATTTCCCCTGCGATGAGTTAGAAGACCATGTCCATATAGCACTCGAAAAATATGTGATACGACTTTATAATGTTCAGGAGATTAATGAGCTACGTAAAGCCAGAAAATATTTATTTGCGACCGAAAATCGCCCACTAACGCTGATTCCACCAACTGCAGCGGCTCTACATGAGCACACATTAAGGGCAGCTTACCAGGCGGGTCACATTTGGGGTAGAGCAGATCAGGTACACCAGCACGATCTCCCTGCACCAAGTAGCTGGGGATATAAAGATGATAAAGGCAAGTGGGTACCATTATAGTCGAAAAAACCACATGTTTGGAGGCATGCAGATCACTGGATACATGTGGGTGCAACACGCCATGTGATACAATGCGTTGCTCCTGCAGAAGAAGCGAATTGCCCTTACGCTTGCCTGTGATAAGTGTAATGGTTATTTACACGACAATAACTTAAGGGATATTTAAGATATTTAATCTAAGTGGAGCTTTGAATGTGAATTTTGTTTCTACAAAAATCACATTCAAAGCTCGACTAAGATTAAATATTCCTGAAGTTATACCGGTGCAAATAACCGTAAAGGGGAATGCATTAATAAGATGTAAACTATTCGCTCAAAACGACTAATCCTATTCTTATTTTTTTTCTCTCTTGTAGCTTAAGATATCAATGAATTATCCGCCCAGGAAGGCAGCTTATTTGAGATTTTGGTATTTTCTGTGTTACGTTGCTGTAGAGCTGTATCAATGACACTGTACAGATTCGAAACATATTGTTTTGGATTTTTCCAGCCAAGTTCTATGTAAATTGCCATATATTTTTTCCAGATAGGTGTGAATGTAAAAAAAGATATTATTGACATTTATGTCAAATATGACAGCAATAGAGCCCTACCATTGGGTCCTATGAAGATGCTATATTTTTTTTCAATGTCCTTATATTCGAATTAGTCTAAAATGACACCAATATTGGAATAATATGATAGACATTTTCAATAATTTTAACACTTTTGAAATCGAATAGTTCACCCCTCCTGAGGAGTGAAATTTGAGGTGCTGCGGGTTTCTCATGCCAAATTCTATGTAAATCGCTATAGATTTTTTCCAGATAGGTCTGAATGTAAAAAAAAAACGATATTTTTGACAATTATGTCAAATATGACAGCAATAGAGCCCTACCGTTGGGTCCTATGAAGATGAGATTTTTTTTTTGAATTCCTCATATTCGAATTAGTCTAAAATCACACCAATATTGAAATAATGTGATGACAGACATTTTTAATAATTTTAACCCTTTAAAAATGAAATAGGGGTAAAACCACCCTCCTAAGGTGTGAAATTTTAGGTGCTGCGGGTCAAATCTCTTAAAATAGTCTAAAAAACAACTGTGCCAAGTTTCATGCTTATAACCCAATTTGCTACGTTTTTTCGTGAACCGCACGTACTATATAACTTAGCGCCTGACAGCGAAACTGCGTAAAAGGATGGTAGGCTTCGGATCTGACTGCCTTTCTTAAAAAGGAGAAGATATAGGAAATTATTTTGATGCCGTATGTGGGGTAAAGCTACCAACCAAGAGGAAGAAATTGAGAAAACACAGGCTTGGGAAAGGATTTTACTCATGCGAAAACCAGTTACATTGAAATTCGTGAAACTGAGACCTTAGTAATTGCAAATTAGCGGATGTTAATAAAAACGGTGTTCTATTATGGAGATCTTTTTATTGCTAACATGTCTCTCCTCTATTTCACGAGAACAACTTTTCAATGCACTAGTTTGGAGTAGCTTAAAAAGGTGTTTGGCCTCTTTATATTTGAGTCGCAATCAAAATCTGGCTTGAATAATGAACTTACTCACCTTCCACTATGCATCTGCTTTCAGCATTGGAATTTAAATATAAAATTTACAAAACAATGTCAATAAAATCAACGAAAACACTAATAAATTCAAATAAATATTGTAAGATAATTATTAGGGAAGAATTAAACGAGAATCGATAGAGGAAACGGATTACTGTATATTGGTCTTGTATTAACAAAGAAACGAAATGAAATTTGCGTAGATACAATACGATAGCACAGGCCTCGAGCGAGGGCTCCCGGTCGGGTGGTATGGTATTGCATATGAGCGTTGTCATCTCGTTGTTGACAGGCCGCAGCACTTTGACATAATACAGGGAAGCGTTCGCCGTTAAGTCGTAGCCGACCTGTGACGTGGGGATTAGGGAATTTTGTTACAATCTTCCCCGGTGCTCCACACAATCGTTTCGAGTGTGAGGCGCACATCAGAAGGTGGTGTGGATGGTGCTGGTTTCTTGCGTGGGCGACCTCGCTTTCTGACAGGTCACGTAGGCGCAGGCAAATCCTCTTCTCCAGATGCGCGATATTGATAGAGCGCAGAGGCGTGATATTTACGACAACCGTTTCCGGCGTGCTAGGTTAAGCAATCTCGTAAATAGTAGGCATAACTACTTTCGTAATTATGTAAGGCCCGTCGCGTCGGTCGGGGCGCGAACTCGGACGTGAAAGTCTTACTGGCGTTACTTAGTACTTTGTCGCCGACCGAAACAGAAATGTCGCGACACTTAGTGTAGGTGCCCAGCGACATAGAGTTGCATTTATGAATACTATCATGGAAAGTTTTGTGTGGCTGAATTGCGCCTAGTCTACCATCTTTTTCCTTTATGAAAACTTTCGTAGTGGGTGCTTTTCTTTTCTAGTTTCTTCGAAAGCCGACCATTTCGCGTGGTGCAAAAAATTTATAGATATTGTTTTTATTTTTAGTGAAATCGCGAGACAAATTAATGAAAAACGTGAAAAAAAATGTGTCCGACAAAAATGTTGGACCGTTAAGGGTGCATGTCTGCCAACTCAAACATATCCAATTGACAAGTTAAAAAAATTTTTGGATAACGAGCTGATTTTTTCAGGATTACTTAATAAAGATATGTAGAATATAATTATCCAAGTGTCCGACATAGTAGATTTTCCAATTTTCCAGTCCGACGCGAGAAAATTATCGGTTTCACAAAGCCAAAAAATTAATGAATAACTGTCGGACAAAAAAAGAAATATGTATGTAAGAGAAGTAGTCGACATGTAATATAAGTGTCCGACAAATATATCGCGACCAATTGGCTGTCCGACAAAAAACATCAATTATAAATCTACCATACAGGGCTATAAGTCCCCCTTGAGTATATACCCAACAACATATAAATAAGTATATAGTTATTAGTTAAGCATTCTACTTATCAATAATTATTCCATTTTTATTTTAATTTTGTTAACCAGTTGTGAAGATAGATTAAAAATTATGTTTTGGCGGTTCTAAAATGTAATTTTTGTCAGAATTAAATACCTACTTACCGACGCGATTTTTAATCTATCGGTACATCGACTAATACACACTCTGGTATACACATAATGTAGCCGCTAAAAAAGCATATAGTTTAATAACTATACAACCACAAGTAGCAT